TTTGGTCGTGGCATTTCCTCAATAATTTCAAGGACAGCGTGGGGCCAGTATTTTGATACTGAGGGAACTGTCAAACCTAGTGCTCTTTTTTGTGATGTAACTGCCAACGTGAAGTATGAATGTGAAGATTTAGGACCAGATGACTATGTTGTGCTCATGGCTGGGGCTAACGATATAGCTAAAAACTCTTGTGGTAATGTGGTGAACGGACTTAGAGATACTCTACAGGTGCTGAAAAGTACAAAGGTAATAGTTGCCAATGTTCCTCATAGACATGATTTACCGGATTCATCGGTTGTTAATAAACTGATTTCTGAAACTAATGGGAAAATCAAGGATCTCTGTAAGGTTTTCAATAATGTTTCTCTTATAAATACTGAAAGTTGTGACAGATCTTTTCACACTAGACATGGACAGCATTTCAACGCTAAGGGGAAGAGGGTGCTCGTAAATCTCATCAGTAAAATTATCAAGATCCAAAGAACTGTAGTGACCCCTACAGCGATAGTCGAAACTTTACCTGATCATCCCTCATTGCCTATAGCTTCTCCACCCAGTTCTACCCAGAATCCTGAAGGTATTGTCTCATCGCAGGTAACTACACAGCCGGCAAGTATTCTACCCCGAGGACCTGACGAAGGTATACAAAATGCTGACTCTTCTTCTTTTTTAGTGGTAGTTTAAATAGGCCTATGTCCGGAGGTAGTTCTGTCAAAGATGACCTTTTAACAATTTTACAAGTAAACAGCCAGTGTCTCCGTAATAAAATTTTATCTCTGGAACATCTTTGTTTTTTAGAAAAAGTTGAGGTTATCTGTATGTCAGAGCATTGGCTATCGTCTGATCAAGTCGAAATTTTTGTACCAAATAATTTTATCACTGCTAGTATTAGATGTAGGAGTAGTAATAGAAATGGTGGTTCGGCTATTTTTGTTAAAGAATCGATTGAGTTTGAATCTATTAATCTTGATTGTTTTTCATCTGATTTTAATTGTGAACTATGTTGTATTAGATTAATAAAACAAAATGTTACTATTGTTAGTGTCTATAGATCACCCAATGGTGATATTAATGTTTTTTTTTAAATGTTTGAAAATGCAATTAAAAGTTTGATGAGAGGGGGCAGTAAGTTAATTATCTGTGGGGATTTTAACATTGAAATGGCTAATGTTATTGAACAAAACTCAATAAATTTCATGAATTTACTTAGGACATTAGATTTAGTGTGTACAAATAATCCACCTACCAGGAATAAATCGTGTATTGATAATGTTATTGTAAATTTTTCTAGAGAATTTTATGAAATTTCACTCTTGCCAGGTACAATTGCAGATCATGATCCTTTACTTTTTAAATATAAGACACATGTCACACTAGATAATAATAAAACTGATACTGGGCCAACCCTGTTTTTCAGGAAGCAAAATGATATAAATATTACAAAGTTTTGTCATGTTTTAATGGATGAGTCATGGGACTGTCTTAATAACCATAATGGTACTGCAGAAGACTTGTTTAATGCTTTTTTCAATAGATTTAGAGAACTATGGTATTACTGCTCGCCCCTTGTTAGTAAAAAAGCTCGTAAGAAAACTAATGTAAAAGGTAAAAAACATAAACTAAACTGGTTTAGTCCTCAATTAAAGCAGACTAGAGACTTGATGTTAGCACACTATACTAAGTATAAAAATCTCTTAAACTTGGATTCTGTAAGGGCTCAGTCAGCTTACAGCACTTATCTTAGAATAAAAAAGTACTACAGGAAAGAATTAGCTACTGCCAAGAAAAATGCTTATGAGAATTTCATTCAGACTTCAAATAACAAGTGCAAAGCTGCCTGGGACATTATAATACATGAAAACACTACAACTCGTACACCTGAAGTTACAATAGACCAAGATACACTCAATAGTTATTTTACAGATTCAGTTGAAGAACTTACCAACCTGGTAAGCCAAACATGCACAACAGCTGAGGACTTGCTTGGGCCTGAACCAAGTGAGAACATACATTCCAATTGGACTTGCATTACACCAGATGAGGTAACCAACACTGTCTATAAACTCTCAAACTCAAAATCTATGGATAGTTATTGGCTCTCAAATTACATCATTAAGAAGACCATACACTTAATTGAAACTCCTTTGGCTCTGGTCATCAATGAGTGCCTACGTGCTGGCATTTTTCCACAAAAATTAAAAATTGCTAAAATAATTCCGGTTTTTAAGAAAGGAGATAGCCTAAATCACTTTGTCAAAATTATCGCCCTATCTCCATTGTTCCAACATTTTCTAAAATATTTGAAGCAATTATTTTAAAGCAGTTAACTAATTATTTTGATTCAAACCACCTGTTAACTGATTCACAGTATGGCTTCAGACCAGGTAGATCCACTACATTGGCGGTGTCAGAAATTACACAGTCCATTTTGAATGCATTTGAAAATAGAGAATCAGTGTCAATGCTCCTCTATGACCTCACCAAAGCTTTTGATTGTATCCCTTTTGATATCTTGATTAAGAAGCTTCAATTTTATGGAATTAGGGGCAACTCATTACAATTACTCAAATCATATCTAACCAATAGATCACAGTTTGTATGTGTTAAAGGTAAAAATTCATCAGTTACACAAATCAAGGCTGGTGTTCCGCAGGGCTCTGTCCTTGGCCCTTTTCTTTTTATTGTGGCCATAAATGATCTTCCTCGTAATTTACCTGTAAAATGTACAATCTATGCTGATGACACAACAATCTTTGCTGCCAATAGAGATCTAAACCTTCTTGACCACACAATTCAGGATGCAAACAATCATGTTTTGAACTGGTTTTCCTCTAATCAACTTATTTGTAATGAAAATAAAACTCAAAGCATAATATTTTCTCTCTTACAAAACCTACCTGAAAATTCAGTCAAACTTCTGGGAATTTACCTTGACAGCAGGTTGAACTGGAAAACTCATATTAACAATCTTTGTAAAAAGTTGTCAAGAGTCATTTATCTTTTTTGGAAACTTAAACCTCTTATCAGCATGGAGTACCTGAGATCAGCATATTTTGGCTTGTTTCAATCTCATTTGCAATATGGTCTTATTTTATGGGGTCATTCACCTCATATTTATGATGTTCTTTTACTACAAAAGAAAATCATCCGCACTATCGCCGGGGTGGGCCCTGTGGAACACTGCAAACCACTCTTTATAAAATATCGCATTTGCACAGTCATCAACCTATACATTTACAATGTCTTGATGTACACAAAATGTAATCTACATAAATTTTACACTCGACAGGACATCCACTCACATAACACAAGAGGCAAAGGAGCACTGGACATTCCTCAGCACCGGCTTGCACTTACAGGTAACTCTTTAAAAATAAATTGTATTAAGTTCTATAATAAGCTGCCTGAGCCTCTCTTTGAAGCAACCATTCCTATCTACAAGTCTAAAGTTTACTCGTGGCTGTTAGAAAATCCGTTTTACACTCTTCAAGAATTCTTGGGTTCGACTGTTCTAATCTAGCCTTAGATTAAGCCTTTTTTACTCTGTTACTTTGTATTATCGACCAATGTAAATATTTAGCCTAATTTGACAATGCCTATCTCAATGTATTTGATCAACGGCAATAAAGATTCTGATTCTGATTCTGAACATAATGGTCAATTTGGTTGATTTGGCATGGAATGACCCGTAAACTTATTTGTAATTTTAACCTTCGTTTTACTGCCACTTAGGAATCTCTACAACAAAAACTGATTGCATTCTTGGATTCAGCGTAAGAAAAACTGTAAGTAAGTAAGTTATTAGACATCTAAAAATTTACACGATAGGCTAAGTTCTTAAGTAGGCCTAAGTTATCACGTTGTAGACATGATAAATAATTGCCAAAAATTAACCCTCTGAGTGTTATTTGTCGATGCGTCAACTCACAAACACTGTTTACGGCGAAGGCTCTATGACTGACAAAATCGGATTGAACTGGATCGAGTTAGGTATCGTTTTATTTTGCAGATTCAGAGCTTTCTCCGGAGGTCTGTCTCTAAGCGCTTTTCATTTTAGTTCCGAAAATATTGTAGCAGACAGCTGACGTGCGTATTTGTAAACAGCTTGGTTAACCTCCCACTGATGACTGATGTGTTTTATTACGTTTATCATTGTTTTAGTGTTAAAAATCAAAAGTAGTGATATACGTGGTGCATTATAAGAAGATTTAAGTGATTTTGAAGGGCTGGTTGATGATCCTGAAGAAGTAGGTAGTGATATTGATGTAAATTATCAGCCAGATTCCTAGCTATGGTTAGGCTATGCATTCTTTGCTAAACGCTATAGTACCGAAATCTGTTTTTTGCCCATAACTTATTTATTTGCAAATCTACTTCCTTATATTATTTATATTTGTAATCCTCATAAAATTTAGAACAAAGAGGCTATTTTCAAATATTTATAGGCCTATACTTTAGGCTAATTTATACAATTTCATTGAGCGCAAACTTATTTTTTTTTTAATTTTCCATTACCTTCTGGTATATAGAACAGTATAATTAACATTGTTTTCAAGCTTCTCAGATCCGTTTTAATAAAACCTTGCAAATGAGCAAAAAATAGGCAGACATTAGGCCTAAGGCCAAAACAAGGGACACTCGGAGGGTTAAATTACGGGTGAGGTCCTGAGTTCGATATAATTAGCCTACCTCAAGTTTTAAGCCGAGTAAACTTGTGGCCTAGGCCTTAGCCTATCCAGATATTACAAGGCTTAGGTAGATTGAGTCATCGATTCAGACAGGCTAGGTTTACTAAGGCTGAGGCTGTTACATATCTTACATATCTTAATTACACGGCCTAGGCTACTGTACAACTGTTAGTGCCTAGGCCTACCATGGTGTGAAGGAAAAGATAGGCCTAACTTACGACTCTGGGCAAAGTCGGCCATGACGACACCTACCAAAGTCAAGATGACAGAATACATTGCACCATAAGAAAGTAAACTTACATATTCACATACCTTGTGTTTTCCTACTATCAGTCCCAGAACCCTTAGATGGGTTTTGAGTGACCCGATTTGCGGGTTTCTTTTCCATATTTGAATCCTCTAACATCTACGAAAACTCTAAAGGAGAAATCCTCTCCGCATGGAGATAAGACGTTCAGTTTCAGACCAGACATTTTTCAGCAGGCCATGATTACAAATTACAAACAATAAAACACCTCAAACGGTATTCAAAAACTGTAAAATTGATAAAACGGTTAAAAATATTTGTTGCACGGAAAATTTAGGAGAGCGTGTGCCCTCTCTTGTCGTTGAAAACGACGATAATACGAAAAGACGAAAACACTGTCGTCGCGTTGAAGGCGACGCCTGGGAATATAAAATGGCGTCTCCACTCCACTGCCACTCCACTCCAACCAATTCCAAAAACTCGTCACTCGATCAGTGTATCCACGACCGTTTCGTCTCGCCGCAGTAAAAATTCTTACTTTTTAGCTGCAACGCTGCAACTGTTACATTTTCGTTAAGTGTCGCTCTCTATGGAACAGATTGGATAATTTTTTTTTAACATAATTTTATTTACAATCTGTTTTGCTTTAAACAATAAGTAAATACTAGAGGTCGCCCAGTGGTCGAAACTCGACCAAAGATCACGGTCAAAGTCAAAGTGGTGTAAGTCAATTTTTGGCAAAAATGAATCAAGTCCATATTTTGATTCCTCTTGTTCACTGATTCATCTTATTTCTAGGGTCACTAGGAGGCAGCACTTTACTGTTCCACATTGTGTTGGTATGAAACTGTTTCAAAGCTAAGTGATCCAAGTCTGACTTTACTCCACTATGCCTTACATGTCCAAGGTTGTTACATGTCTCTTTTTTGGTATAAACACATGACTTATGCGAAGTAAGCAAGTCTGACCATAGATAAAAGGAGTATAGACAGATACCCCACGAGATAGGGAAGTCGCGAACGCTGTATTTGAGCTAGTGCAGTCGCTGTTTTGGCGTTTCAGGCCCGCAGCGTTACTAGTTCGTGCAGCACAGGGACGGAAATTCTCCCAGTTTCCCACGGAGTGAGAGAGACAGACTGAATGGCAGTGCGCGCGCAGCAGTAGTATGCGTCGTAGCGGCCCTCTCTACAGTTGACTTGACACTATACACCTGATACGACTTGTGTCCATAGCATTTGAGCTACTCACTCTGAATACAAAATATGATATCCGTTCATTTTTTAATTATATTTCAACCTGCAAACGAGAAATATGTCTCGATTTAGAAGCAATATAAAGGAAACTCACGTTTTTAACAACTATATTCGTAAATCAAACTGTATCATGATTTAATGAAACATAAAAAAAATGTATATACAGTTTGAACCGTTTGATAATTTGAGCATTAAAAACCAGGGCTTAATCATGAATATTCGTAATTTTACTTGCAATATCAAAACGTTTTGGTATAGACAACAAACAAAATGCAAAGTTTTCAATTTATTTTCAATCAAACTCTAAACCGTACCACTATTGGAACGACTGTATAAGTTACTATGCCTACTTATTTACAGAATATTTATGATGAACAACAAAAGAGGAGTATTTAAGAAAAAAATCACGTCAAACTACAAGATAGACAGACAAACAACAAACAAAATAATTGAAAACCAAACCATTATTTTTTGTAACAATTTATATACAAATACAATATAAAGTAAACAATAAAAAATCAAACATAGTTGTGTTACAGTCGGAACTATGGGTCCTTTTAAATTAACTATGAATTTTACTTTAAAAATAGATCGGAATCTGTACACGCAATGAAACAGCTTAATAAATGGTTTTAAGTTACCTTTGTCAGTAGCTCAAATGGTCGTTAAAATTCTACAACCAGGTTTCGATGCTGAGTTGCACCATGATCACGTAAGTCAGCAGGATAACTTCTTTCTCACATGTCGGTCAAGTTGACGTCGTTAAGAAGTTTATAAAAACAATACATTACGTAAAAAACACATACATTTAAACACGAACAAGTACAAAACATATTAAGAACGAGATCGATCTATCGAACGGGCCCGTCACGGTTATCGGCGGCAGCTTAATTTGTAAAACTTATTTACAGGATATTAGTTAATAGTTATTGACAACAAAGAAAATAATTGTTAAATTAATTGGGAACTGCACTACGGGTAATTTCCATTGATAGTATAGTCCTCGAACCATTAAAACAGCTGCCTGTTTTGCGATTTCTGGCCCTCGATTTAAACGTCCCGTGTCTTAAAAACCTTCAAGCATAGATAAAAGGAGTAGACATACTTACTCCTTTTATCTATGCTTGAATGAATTCATATTTTCGGGAATACCCTAAGCCCTTTTTTATATACAGGGTGATTGATATAAGTATGCCAAGTTATAAGGGATATAACAAAATGATAAACTGTAAATGCCTTGGATTTTTTATTTTTTAAATTTTGGTCAAGTTGAAAAAATAATTTTAGCCGCCATGTTTCCTATATGACCGCCAACTTAGGGAATTAGTATATTTCATAACAAGAGTGGCAAGTCTGCAAAAAATTTCATATTTGACATCATGTTTGCAGTGCGAAAATTATCGAGTACTTTAAATGGACGAGAATATGTATAGACCCATTTTCTATTCCAAAAATACTACAGGGTGAGGCAATGAAAATAAATTGTACTAACTCCATTATATTATAAATTAAACATATTCACCCAATAGATATAAATACCACATCAAAACACAGCTTATTTTTTGCCAATTGAGCTTAACCAAGTCATTTTTTCATTCCTTGAAAACAAAATCCTGCAAGTGACGTCCTTGTCCCACTTGACATTCCTTTTTAGTCACTTGAAAACTCCATCAAATACTCCTCCAGCATTTCTTCGGGAATCACTTTAGTTTTGGACAATTCTTAGCTTCCGTTTAAGCAAATCTGTGGGGCGACTTAAGAAAAAACCTCGAACTTCAAGTAGCTTATCAGAATACCCCCCCCCCCCTAAAAAAGAGCCAACGGAAAGCTTTCAACAACAAAAGCTTCCTGGCAAATCTCTTCGGACTTCGAGTTACTGCGACTCACACTTTTACAGCATTTGCTGGTGTACAAAGGGTTTTGCAGCACCAACCGATTATTTTTTCGTTTTAAGCTGTTATACTAAATTATTTTACCCAGTTCACCGTTGTTTTCCAATTTGGAACAGCACCATATTGACCAAGGATGGAATGTGGTCCAAACAATGAAACAATCTCTGGGGTTTTGTACAAGAATCACTATTTTAAAAATTGGTTTCCACATCAAAATCTCAGTCTTAATAGCCTCAGGCATAATGTTTACTAAAATGACATAGTTTAAATTACATTATAAGCAGAGCTGTTAATTAATTGTGGCTTTACTTATAGTGTGACAACGAAAGAAAATTGGGGTGCTCTCACTGCTTCACCCTGTATTTCTTTACTACAAAACTCATAGAATCTTTAGGTCATACCTTCAATTTAAAGTTAATGTTTACTTTTAGTTGTTGACAATTTAAACAGTTTATAAAACAATTACAAATATTATTGTTTGTTTACATCGGCCATGGCCCCCACAAGGGTGGGGCTGGTGCAACTCTGGTCACAGGGCCCGGGCCTGTTGGGGGCCCCGAGCCTAGTTAGGTTTAATTTTTGATTGTTTATTGAAGAATATTTTACAGCGGATCATAGATTTAAAATTCAAGTAGCCTACATTAGTTATTACAAAATCAAAGTGAAAAAATAATATTAATTCTAGATTTTAGATTCAGTTTGTGATTTGGCGAAACTCACTTGACTTTTCAGTCGTTATTAATGATTTTAGTGAAAAGAATGTTAAGCAATCTATGATTATATTGACCATAGACCACCAGCATATATCAAAGTAGGGTTTTTATAATCTGTGGTAGTACCATGAAGGCTACTTTATCAATGACGGTGGTAAATATGGACAACCTAATGCGGCTGTGAGTGGGAAACATGATTTGTAGAAAACGCTAAAAAACAAGATCAGCTTTTGAAAAATGATACAATATTTACAGTAAATGTTGATTATATTGAACTGTTATGTACTTCGTGAATAATTCCATTAGTTGCATCATTTTTTTAAGTTGACTCTTTTAAACTTATCGGAAATTATGACTATTTATTCGTTATTAAATAACTCCTGTAATTCTTTGCAATTGCTCAATTTCGAGCAACATAAAATACACTAGTCACACAGTATTAAACATGTCAAAAAATGTTAACTAAAATGTTTAGCTCCCTGGTTAGTTATAATCTTATTATTTTTATGACTTGAATTTTATTTCTGGTCAGTACAAGAAATCAAACACAAAATGGAAATTTACTTTCAATAGCTTAAAATAAAAGTGGACGATTTACTATAATTTACGTTTGCAATAATTGAGCAAATAAAATACGGGGTTTTTATTGATTTGATAGTCTCAATAATTTTTCCTTACTTAGGCTACATTGAACAAATTTGTAAATGGTTGAAAAATTGCCATCTACCATAGCATACTAAACGCGGACATAGTGGAAGGGGCCCGAGCTCGATTCTGGTTACAGGGCCCACAATCGAATGTGGGGGCCATGACATCGGCAAAATACAAAAATAAAAATAGTAAACATACTCTCGCATAGTAAAAAATCTTTTTCACTACAATATGATGTTATTAGCTGTTTTACCATAGACAAAATACGTTAATTAGAGGCTGAAAGTTACGTTTTGCTGACCGCACCAGCTGTCATCGTCATTTGGGGACCGAACAGGTTTTTACATCCCTAGGACCGCAAAATCAGCTGCCCGCTTGAATATTAAATACACAAACAGTATCCATAGCATTGCAATATATTGTTTTATTTTCATCGTTGCCTAGCAACGGTTTATTATTATTTTTGCTGATTCCTTAAATTACTTCTTCACATAACCCTAAAGTTGCGTTTGTGAATAGTAGTAGTGTGGTGAAAAATTGTGTTCGTACCACGGACCAAAAATGGTTTTGCAGCTCTCGATCGTTCTCGACTTGGTCTCGAACTTAAAAACACCGAGCCGGCAAAACCTCATTTTCGGCCCTAGGTACGAAATATACTATTGCCATAGTAAACAATGTAATAACAGATTTGTGCAGGTGATAAATATGCAACGAAACATGCCATTTTACAGTAGTGTAGCGAAAAAACCAATTTTCTTAGCTCATTGTACGTTTAAAAAAGTTTACTTTCGCCTGTAGAGTATTGAAAAGAACATTAATTGCCAATATACAAACTATAATATATCTTAATTGAAAGTAGATAAATCTCTTATTACATGTACTGACACTTGTTTACGGACAATTTTAATAGATATATTCGAGAAACGAAAATATTGAACTACCTTT